GAGTCTGTGATCGAGTTCGTAGATTGAGTCTGTAATCGAGTTTGGAGCACTTCGGCAGAAGTTTATCTTGCCACATTTATTTTCAACTGTTGTTTATTTCCAGTCATATTTTACTTCCAGTTTGTACCAGATTTAAAACCTCCCCGTTTGGAGCAGATTTCTATTTTTATATTTCCCGCACCTGCTTTTACTTTTTTTATTTTCCGCACCTGCTTTTACTTTGTTTATTTCCCGCACCTACTTTTACTTTGTTTATTTCCCGCACCTGCTTTTACTTTGTTTATTTCCCGCACCTGCTTTTACTTTGTCTATTTTCCGCACTGCTTTTACTTTGTTTATTTCCCGCACCTGCTTTTACTTTGTTTATTTCCCGCACCTGCTTTTACTTTGTTTATTTCCCGCACCTACCTTTACTTTGTTTATTTTCTGCACTGCTTTTACTTTGTTTATTTCCCGCATCACACTTTAAATTATTTACTTTCTCGCATGATTTATTTTAACATGTCTGTTTACATTCTCATGTCAGGCTGAACCTTTCTGGGCTAGAATGTAAGGAATCTAGTTAGATCGATATTCTAAATAATGTGTCAATAGAAATGCTTATGGGCTATTTTGGTTTTTAATACGAGTTTTCTGTACTTTATTGTTGTTGGGTAAGATCGAAAGTCGTCCAACCCTTTGTTAAACCCGGTTAGTTCTAACTGGTCAAAGGAAGCGAAAGCGCTTTGTCCGGTTAGTTAGGGATTTTTATTATCAAAGAAATCAATTTTGAAACTATTTTAGGACGCGTTTATAGGGTTAAAGTTAGGTCCCTTTTTATTAGAAATTCCAGATCAAAATACTTTTCAACTTGGTCAAGTACTTTATTTCTTAAAAATAGGTTTTTTACTTTAACGCAATGTGCGCCTTTTTATAAGTGACGATAAGAAGGTCTGATTAGAGAGTAAACTCGGTTCTGATTACGCGAAAGCGACAATTTCTGTTAAATTAGTTTTTTTCTTTAGTAGAAAATATTGCACTATAAGTAGTTCTATTCCGAAGCATTGCGAATATCATTTGACTATGTGAATTACATTCGACCATGCTTTTATATCTGAAGTTTATTTCGCCGCACTTTACTTTCTTGCATGCTCAATTCCCTATTTGATATTGACTTAGCTAAACACCGTAACAATAGGAAACGATATATTGACGATTGGTCTCTGTGGATCGATAATCTTTTATATTACTCTGACGCGATTCGTACACTTGCGAATACTCCACATCACCTACCATAACCACTAATACTAACCATCCTATCCATATTGACATTCCCCTAACCATTCCCATAGACACACTTAGAAACCTTCCTATCCCTTCCTAATCTTCTATCAACAATCTTGCCCTTCCTTCAGCCTATCCCCCCTTCATCACTAATTCTACCTTAAGGAGCTCAACTATAATATATCACCATCCCACCTATCTTCAAGATTTTAATTATACTCTCCTTCAAGGTACACACACCCCTTATTTTTCTCTTCCATTAGGTACTAGTCCTTATCCCATTTCTGATTATTTATTCTACAATAACTTGTCTCATAATTATAAAATTTTTAAATCAAAATTTCTCTCATTATTAGACCTGATAATTATACACATGTTGTTAAAGACAATAATTGGCTGCAAGCCATTCAAACTGAACTGTGATCCCTTATTCAAACAGATACTTGGGATCTTATTACTTTGCCACCCACTAAAAAGGCCATTTTCTATAAATGGGTTTTAAATTAAACTATTTTCCAATGACAATATTGAAATATACAAGGTTCGCCTTGTAGCCAAAGGCTTTAATCAAACAGAAGGAATAGACTACTCAGAAACTTTCAGTCCAGTCATCAAAATGACTATCAATAGACTTCTTATCTCTATAGCCTCATCTCCAAATTGGTATTTCCATCAATTGGATGTAAATACTTCTTTTATTCATGGAAAGATAAAAGAATAAGAAGTTTTTATGAAATGTCCTCCTAGCCGAAAAGTTTATAATCAAAATATGGTATGCAAGTTAAAAAGTCTATTTATGACCTTAGACAAGCTAGCAGACAATAAAATCAAAAATTAATTTCTACTCTTTCTATTTTAGGTTACACTCAATCTAAGGAAAATTAGTTCTTATTTACTAAATCTATTGATTATTATTTTACTATTGTTCTATTTTATGTGGATGACTTAATCCTTACAGGAAATCATTTATCATAAATCACTCGCATCAAAAAGATTATGGATGCCAAGTTTAGTATCAAGGACTTAGGGGATCTCAAATATTTCCTAGGATTTAAGATATCTAGATTATCCAAAGGGATAACTTCGTGTCAAAGAAAATACAACTTATACTTACTGCAACATGTAGGGTTCTTGGATGCAAAAATGGTTGCTACACCCATGGGTCCTAATCAGAAATAAGACAACGAGGATGATCAACTTTTTACTAGTTCTACTCAATTCAGAAGTTTGATTGGTAAATTTTTATATTTCACTAATTCTAGACCTAACATTTTCTAATTTGTTGCATATTGAGTTAGTATTTATCCAAGCCTATTGTCACATATATGCAAGCTGCCATAAGGATAGTAAAATAGATCAAGAATTCTCTAGCTTTTGGCCTTTTCTTCAGCGAAGATTTCAATATGCAACTAATTGGATTCACTGACTTTGACTTGGGTGCCTACTCGATCACAAGAAGACCCACTACTGAATTCCTTTTCTACCTGAGTTCAAGCACTATTAGTTGGAAATGTAAAAAACAATAAGTTATGTGTCGTTTCTCTTTAGAAGATGAGTATAGAGCCTTAGCCAACACTTCTTGTGAGGCTCAATGGCTGTTATATTTGCTCACAAATTATTGCATCTCACATCCTTAACCTGTTCATATTTTTTGTGACAATGTCAATGCCACTCACATTACTACTAACTCGGCCTTCCCCAAACACACCAAACACATTGAACTTGAATGCTATCTAGTCTATGACAAAATCCAGGAGAAACTAACTCACATGCTGCCAATTAATTTCAACAATCAAGTTGTTGAACTCTTCACCAAACCCCTTCACTTGGGTCCGTTTTCTAATTTAGTTTCCAAACTGCGGATGTTAGATATTTATTTCAGATGAGGCGGGATGTTACAATATATTAAATCCTATTTTTATTTTTATTTTATCGTTACAATTTGTTACCGTATTTTACTCTAATAATCTGTTTTTAATGGGCTTATTTAAAGGCTATATCTCTCTCATTCCAATTATATTTTATTTTTCTGATTAATGAAATTAATTTTGTTTGTCTCTTTCCTTGCGTTGCATCATGAGCACGCTTCCGGTGTCTATGATTTAGCATGTGTTTGATATGAATTAATTTTGAATGAATTGATTTTGTGAAATTGATTTTAACTAAAAGTGAGTTGAAAGTAAATTAATTTATGTTTGGATGAATATACGAAGAAATGAGTTGAATAATAAATTTCAATATAAAATTCATTTAAATTTAAAAGTTGTAAATTTTAATTTCTAATATAATCAATTCTAAAATCAGAATCAATTGATGTGAGTATTAAAAAAGATGATTCTCATTAAAAGAAAATAAATAAATACTTGAACAGTTAAGATTAATATTAAAAATAATGTATTTATCTTAGAAAAATGCTAACCAATACCTCTGAGGCACTGATTAAGGATCTTTAATTACAACATGGATCCACTAAAAAAAGACTATTAAAAGATTTACTTAAGACAACAAAAAATTTAAATTTTCTAAATCATAATAAATAAAAATTGAGCCGTTAGTAAATTATTACTTTCTATTTTCATTAATACAATGTCTGATGCACATCATATTTCATTTTCAATTCCGGCAACTTTTTAATTCCAACTTTTTCTTTTCATAGTTAATTTAAAGAATTATATAATAGATATAGTGTACAACATATTTATTATTAAATTCATTAACTTTTTAAATTTTAATAAAATTAGGTATATTTATTACTAATTAACATTATTATTTTACTTATACTTTTTTAATAGAAATATACTGCTGATATATTAAAAATTGATGAAATTAAAGTTAGTGATACCGAGATTAAATCACATTTTATTTAATTTAAGTATATTTTATTTTTTGATTTTATTAAAACATTTAAATATTTGTATTTGATATTTAAATAAGAGACAAGAGACTAGAGAAGAAGATGTAAGATATTCATGGAAAAGAAGATGTATAGAATAAGTGATATCATTAAGAGAAATTTAAATTGAAATATTGAATGTGACTTAATAGATTTGAGTTTGAGTTGAATGAGAGTCAAGTGAAGTTTGAGTCGTAAGATAATGTGATTTAGTTCACTTGAAAAATATAAACTGCAAAACAAACCAAACAATTTTGTTTAAAAATAGCCCAAAAAAATCCGAAAAATCCAAACCATATGTGATTTTTTGCTGTTTCGATTTAATTTAATTTGCAATTTTCGATAAGACCGATTCAATTTTAAACACCCCTAATTATAATTAAAAATTCATTTTTTAAATTTATTAAATAATCAATATATTTGATTTATATAAATCAAATTCATTATTAATCATTTAAAGAAGTTAAAAAGTTTCTTTTTTTGCAAGTGGAATTTTACTGGTGACAGTTGAAAAGTAGCCAGTATTGTTTTAATTAAAATAAATTGAACAAAATTTCCTTTTTTTCATATTTTTTTCTCTTACTTTCTTTAAATGAAATTTTAAAAAGAAAGTAATTATGCAAGCTGTTAGTTGAATTTTAATCATAGTTATTGTCCATTTCTTTAATTTTCAACAACCAACTTCCTCCCCCCCATCAACACACCATTGGAAAAACTGCCTGCTCTTTGGTTGAGATGCAAAAAAAGTCCCAAGAAAGCACTCTGTCAAATCATTTTTATCCTGTCTAAAACTAGCCTTCAAAGTTTAAAACAATTTTCTTTGTTTTGTTAGAAACTTGATCTATTATCCTACCTCAATGCGGCTGAACCCATAGCATTTTTGTAATCTTTGTAGTTTCATGTTTTCCCTCACTTGTTCTATATCAAGCCAATGACCCTTCTCGGCATAAATCATATTCAACAATGTGTAATTAGCAGCATTATTTGGTTCTGATCTTATAAGCTGAGATGATAGTAATTCCGCTATGTCGAGTCTCCCATGAAGCTTACAAGCCGATACAAGAGAGCTCCATATTCTTGCACTCGGTTTCATAGGCATTGTTCTCAGTATTTCCAACGCATCTTCAAGTTTCCCCGACCTTCCAAGAAGATCAATTAGGCATGCATAATGTTCTACAGTGATTGGAATTTCGCAATCTGCATTTACTTGCTCAAACACTTGTTGTCCCTCATTGACAAGGCCAGCATGATTACACGCAGATAAGACTGCTAGAAATGTGACTGCATCAAGCTTCACTCTTTTCTCTTTCATTTCATGAAAAAGTTGTAAAGCTTCTTCTCCACATCCATGAAGCCCATAGGCACTAATTAAACTACTCCATGTAACCGAATCTCTATTCGGTGTTTCTAGGAATATCTTACGAGAATCATCTAGACAGCCACATTTAGCATACATATTTATAAGCGCATTGCACACAAAGATGCTAAAACCAAATCCAAATTTCAAGATATAGCCATGGATTGCACAACCATGCTGTAATGAAGATAAGTTTGTGCATGCAGATATCACTGCGAGCAGAGTTACATAGTTTGGTTCAGTTTCCTCAGTTCTCATTTTATTAAAAAGCTTCAAAGCTTTGTCGCTTTCTCCTCTTCGAGCATAGCTCCCTATGATTGAACTCCATAGCACCACATCCCTTAAACTAGACCCTTCAAAAATTCGTTCAGCAAGGTGCAGTGATTCTCCACATTCACAATACATGTTAATGAGAGCTGATGAAAGACTATGACATGAATCAAACCCACGACGAAAAGCATACGCATGAATCTCTTTTCCATACTTAACAAAACCCGGCCTTGTACAAGCTGCTAAAAGTGCAATCAACGTTACCCTATTCGGGTTAACTCGCGCAACCTGCATTTCTCTAAAGCTTGCTAAAGCTACATCATATTCTTGATTACCGACACAACCAGATATCAACGCAGTCCACGAAACCTCATTTTTCACTTCCATCCCATCAAACACACTCCGAGCCATCAAAGAGTCACCGCACTTGAAATAGAAATCCACAAATGCCGTTGACAGGAAAACTGAATGTTGAATTTGTATCCTCCCATCAACAACAAGAAGACCATGAACCTGTCTTCCTATTCTCGAACTTAAACCCGTTTCCCTCCCACACACGGATACCATGCTAGCTAACAGCTCCGGCTTGGGAAGAAAACCAAGAAAGTAGAAGTCTTTTGACGTTTGCAGAGCTTCTAAAAGCAACCCATTTTGCATATAAGCATTGATCATGGAGTTCCAAGTGATGGGGTCTCTGTGAGGCATTGTGTCAAACACTTGGCGTGCCGATCTGATATCTGAAAACTTCGCATACATAGAGATGATGGAATTCGAGACAACTGGGTCAGAGTTGCAGCCTGTGATAAGAGCTAAGCAATGAAGCTGTGTGCCGAAGGCATGAGAGTGAGTAAATGAACATGCCTTGATGACTGATGGAAGAACACATGGGATGAAACTGAAATGGTGACCAGAGAAATGGAGTTGTGTGAAAAATTCAAGTGTCTGGTTATAAAGACCCTTTGAAACCAAGCTTTTGATATGGTCTAAAGGGGAAGATACAGGGACCACAGTAGCTAGGAATCGTCGAGTGAAGAATGACATGCAATTGTATGTCAAATGATTCAAATTCAGATTCAGAATCATTGTGTTGTGTGTGTCTGGCTTTTTACTTTGTGGTACAAATTCTTACACCCTTTCACTCATGATCATATAGAATTTTTCCTTAAACCCTCCAAAAAGTTCTTGCATTCTTATTCAATAATTTTGCAAGCAAACACAATTCTATTGTATTTTGACATAAAAAACATCATACACATATGAAATTAGAGGTATTATATTTGTCTGTCTATCATTGATGATCATTATATAAATTTTTTTTTTTTTTGTTGTGTTCATTGAATGTTGTTCGGATAATATCATCCAAATATATTTGGACACTGAAATTCAAAGCATTTGAATGAGTGATTTGATTGTCTTATTTTTCAATGATTGTAGTTATGGTGACTCTAATGTTGGTGATTTTAGTATCACCAATGTATTTTAGTAGTAATGTGATTTACTAAAGGCCGATGCAATTATGCGTTAAGCTTGGAAACGAGTTAGGGAAGTGCGGAGTGCACGCTCGTCGAGCCAATGTATAATTGAATATGAATAATTGAAACGGGGTTCCAAGGGGCGAAGCCCCTGGCGGGGTACGGGGCAGCGCCCCGTTGGGGTTCCAAGGGGCGAAGCCCCTGGAGGGGTGCGGGGCAGCGCCCCGTTCGAAAATTTTGAATCCTTTTCCCCAACCGACATAACCGTTTTTTGGAACAGGTGTGTCTTTTCGGTTTCAGTTATTGATCTCCTATATAAGGAATCATTTGGCCTCGGTTTCATATACGAAAAACGACACTTTCTCTCTACATTTGTAATTAGTTTCTTTTTCCAGAAACAGATTGTTCTTCGAGAATTATCCCCACAAAGATTTCGTGAACCCATGCAAGAATAGGGTCGAAATACTTTGTTCGGAAAGTGTACGAACACGATTCTTCGAAATTATCCAAGATTATCATACCCAAATATCTTACATCTAATGCTATCAACAAAGTTGATGTATCAAATGATGGTATTTTAGAAGATTCCTGGCCAAGTGTTATACACGTCGATGCTGTAAAATGATTTACCACTAAATAGGATTTTACATTACGTGAACATATGCTTCGATGGTCCGTACGAAAATTGGTAAATTAGATTTTGGGATAGTTATCGGGAGGTAGGATTCTTATTTCAATAGAAGACATGCATTTACTACGACGATATTTGACAGAAGTGGCAAGTTAGTTGGCCATCTGATTGTCTATCATCTAAATACTAAAGAGAAGAAATATGTTTGTGAGATGACAATGAACATGGTTTAGCCCAATAACATACTTGGAATTTTGAAAAGGAAACATCTGAAAAGTGTCTCAAATCTTAAGTAAATATATAATATTCACCACTTAAAGGGTGGTAAGGAGTAAAAGATCTAAAATGCAACCGTTGTTGAATTACATACTATATAGGTAAAAAGTGTAAGCGGGTGGAAAAACGTCTAGAGATATATTTTAGACTCATATTGATTCCATCAAGTTGTTTAAGAAATTTTCCACGATATTGATAATTGATTCAACATATAAGACCAACAACTACATGTTCCTTCTTCCACAAATTATTGGTGTTGCTTCTAATGAGATAACTTATTCAGTTGCTGTTGCATTTTTGAAATGTGAAAAAGAGGATAATTTTTATATGAGCTTTAGAAATATGTCGTAATATTTTTGAAAGACTCATAAAACATGCCACAAGTGATTGTCACTAATCACGATATCTCACTGATGAATTTTGTTAGAGATATTTGTTACATCCCATGCTTTACTATGTAAGTATCATATAACAATAAATGTGAGAGGTGAAATTAATGAAAATTTTGGAAATAAATTAATAAAGAGTGAAGACGGAAAAATGATCAAACTTAGTCAAATACATTTAATTGATATCTAAAATGTCATAATCAATTATTCTACATATGAGTTATATGGTGAAGCTGTCATACAGTTAAGAAGTGTGTGCGTAAAATATCTAGATTTTTTTAAATATATTGAAAGTACGATATTAGACTAAGCGAAAGAGAAAATTGTTAGTGCATGGACTGATTAGGTCAGAAACCTTAAAAAATAGTAAGAGTGATTTTTATACGAGTAGAAAATCAATGAGCCAAATGATTAAAATGAAAAATAATGAGATACACACATCATTTGGACCAGCATCACAATATTAAAACATAAATTCAAAGACAAAATTTTGTATTCATAGTTGATTGGCAATATATCTCGAGCGAGATTGAACTTTATAAATCACGAAGATGGGAGAGTAGAAAAAACAAATTCATATAACTACAAGTGTGGTGGAATACTTAAAAGAACACATGATCTTTCGTGTGCTTGTTTATCTCCAAGAAGATGAAAGTTGATAGATATATACATATGACATTAAATTTGTATGACATATCAAAACAAAGTTGAATTAAAGAAACATTAAAAACTTAAAGACTAGAAAAAATATTCAAATATTAAATTTTGTAAAATATATCCTAATTTTGACATTCATACACACAGTTTAGACTTTGAAATCAGTATAAGACGAAATTTACAGAAGATTTCATACCATCATAAACCTTAATCCCTCAAATGTCTCAAACTCACACCAAAATAAAGTAGGATGAAAATGATATAAAATTTCTCTTAAATGGAATATAATATAGTTTAATTAAAAATTAAGAAGAAATTACCTGCATCAAAATAATTTAAAAAAGTAAGGTAAGAAAGAGAAACATACAAAATTTTCTTCAAATGTGAGAAATAAATGACTGAAATTGATTAAAGTAATGATTTGAATAAGAAAGAATAGAAATTTAGAGATTTTTGAAAATGGTGTATTCGAATTAGCAAACACGTGAATGAATGTTTGATGTTGAACGTTCAAAAATTTAAAATGTTTGAGTTTTTCTAGAATTCAAAACAATTAAGAAGAATGTGACGATAGAGAATATGAGATTATATGATCTAAAATGATAAAGGTTAAAGGAAAGCTTGAAAATATGATATTTAAAAAAAATAAAAAAAATGATTTTATTTAATCAGATTTTAATTTTAAAATTAAGATATTTAAGTCATTTCAATAAGTAAACTACACATGTAAAATAAATATTAAATGGAAGATGAAAAAAAAGTGGGACATTAACATTTTTTTATGAATGAGACTAATGAAGGTGCAAAAAACAACAAATGTTACAAAAATTTATCAAACTTTTATTTCTAGGGGAGAGAATAAATATTAGCACAATGTAATCAATAAATGGCCAATGTTTCATTAAAAATAAGTTAAACAATAACGTGGGACTAGTCCAATAAATCTAAACTAAATGGAATCCAATTTCAATTCCACATTCTCTAACAAACAAAAAAAAAAAATTTAAAACCAATTTTAAAAGTACACTACTTTATTATTGTTAAATACATAGAAAGTTATGCATAAAGTATACAGAAATGCTGAAGTTACACCAAATATGACATCTACACCTTATTTATATCCGGTAGAATCGACTCTTATCCCTTAGATTATTTATAATAGAGGTGTTGAATAAATTTTTTAATAGTTGAATTGCTCTCATAGATTGTTGAATAAGGTGTTGAATGTGACATGAATTAATTGGTGTTGAAAACATTTAACATGTTGAATGAGAAATGAGTGAGACCACTTATAATACTTTACAAAATATAATTGGTTGTTGTGATGATTTATATTTTTATCTCACCTAAATTATTTGGAGTCAATTATTTTATAGAAAATCAATTTTTTATTTATTTTTATTTCCACTAAAATTCATCATTTTTTTGTCTATAAATAAAGCATTGGTTCATTTGATTTGGACAAAGAAAAAAAAATCTATTTTTTTCTCTAATTTTTCTATTTATCCTCCAATAAATTATTGTTTATAGCTCTAAACAATTTTTTAGTGAAATGAATCCCAACGATAACTCTCTTAACACCAAAAATTCTACTAATTATCCTTTCAACTACCCAAATTCTAACTATATATTTCAAAATCAATATTCCAACCAACAAGGTCCCCAAAATATACCAAATTTCATAATACCGTCATCTAATCCAAACTATCGTCCATATTATGGATCTATGATATCATATTCATCTCAAGCACCACCTTATTATTCTTCTACTCTAATGGAAAATGAAAATGTTCCTAATGTTGGACTTGATGAATTTCCTGATTTTTCTACACAAACGGCTCTTGGTGGCATGAGCCATGGTCATGGAGCCACTCCAAATGCAGAGGATTCAATTCCTGTTCGTCGGAAAAGCCCCAAATGGACCACTGATCAAAATTTAGTTCTAATTAGTGGGTGGATCAAATATGGAACATACAATATTGTTGGGAGAAACCAAAAAAATGATTCATATTGGGGTAAAATTGCTTATTACTGTAATGAGCATTGCTCATTTGATCCTCCCCGTGATGGAGCTGCATGTAGAAATCATTACAAGAGTGAACTTCTTTGTGAATCAACGTCCGTATAATATGCCATACTATCTTGCTGACGGTATCTACCCTTCTTATCCGACTTTCGTCAAATCAATTAGACTTCCTCAAAGTGAACCAGATAAGTTATTTGCAAAATATCAGGAGGAATGTCGGAAGGACATCGAACGTGCATTTGGGGTGTTGTAGGCTCGATTTAAAATTATTCGCGAACCAGCCCGTTTGTGGGACATAGTCAATTTGGCTCTCATCATGAGGGCATGTATCATATTGCATAATATGATTCTTGAGGATGAACGAGATACATATTCTCAATATTGGACCGATTATGATCAATCTGAGGCAAGTGGGTCTGGTACACTGGAGCCTTTCTCGACCGAGATACTACCTGCATTTGTAAATCATGTGCGTGCTAGATCTGTGATGTGTGATTCAAATGTACATCACGAATTGCAAGCAGATCTAGTCAAACATATATGAGTAACGTTTAAAATATTTCGTGATTAAATATATTGTTTGTGAGTTAAGTCTATTGTACTAATTAAGTTATGTGTGTTTCATTTTAAGT